TTAATTTAAATGACACCTCCTTCTCGAAGCGTCTGACAAGAAAAGAGCATTATTCCGATGACGAACCCTACGTCACCATTCAGACCGTTGTTTATTTTAGTTTTTGCACCCAATTACTTAATTGGGGTGCCAACTAGAGAGCAGTTGATGATATATGACCTAGTCGCTGATGTTGGCAGCTCCAGATAACCGGTGCCGAAGGGTTGCAGATTCGCAAGTGTAGTAAGCTCATGAAGAAGGTATGAACTGGCATCCAAACTTCTGTTCCCGCTAATTTTGGCTTATCTTCAGCCATTGCACACTATCAAAACTCGGACGAAGTTAGTGATTATTTCTCTCGAGCTGTGTACATTTGCGGTAGCTATTTGAAAGTATTTGTAATCTAGTAGCTTCGTTCGGCGATTTTGATTGATTAGAACAAAAGATCACCACCGCCTAGCACTGTAAGTTTGATACAGGTGACTTGGAAACGGAGTATATGAGCGCGGGGTTGAAGATCTTTTCGCGCTAGAAGCTGGATCTGCGCTCGGACGTGGGGGAGCTCTCGCGGTTTGGGACTCGCTCGGACGTCGTGTTTTCTCGTTGATACAGCGCTCGCGGTTGATGGGGGAGGAGGGGGGGGGATGCTGGTGGCGCGCTTTAAACTGGTGGTGTACTCGAAACTGTTGGCGGGATCGGAGATGTTGTTACAGTCCGACACGGTGGTGCGCTTCAAATTTTCGGTTCCCTTGCACTCTGTTGGGCGACCTAACATGGCCGTATATCACCGTTTGTGGGGCACTCGAAGATGATGGTGCTGACTCGCACGTTGCTGGCTGAGCTGGTGGTGCCCTCGTTGCTGGCGGTGTCCTAGTTGCTTGTGGTGCGGTGGCTGATGGTGATGCACTCCTGAGCTGTTGGTTTTTACCGAGCGGTGAGGCCTCCTACTTGTAGCCTATATGAAGCCATACTTCCTCGCACACATGTGTGACAAGGTACCGATGTGTTTTAATGTAAACTGCAATTATTAACTGGAATTGACTGATAAAAGGGGTGATGTAAAGACCTTCCATTTTGTGTCTGTTTTGTTTTGCATACATGCCAGGAGCAGTCAGGACGGATTTAAAGATGTCAGCTCGAGCCCTAAAGGGCAGGTTTATCGGAATCTTTGAAGATACAAAAAGGTATTGGTTTTAGACGCGTACAATAACAAGCACATATTATCCAGATCCGATACGTTTGACGCAGAAAGCTGTGCAAACATTATCACACAGTCATTCGAAAAGCCCGATAAGCTGACCGCTGCTGTGAGAGATGTGTTGGATTTGATAGCTACTTCTCCATGGAGCATAGGTAAAGCGCCACAAGTGTCATAAAGGGATAACAGTGAGCACCTGTTGCAGGAGACAGTGGGATTCAAGCGGCTTAGATAGCCGTTTCCGGAGGCGGTGGGAGCGAGACGCACTACACCAAATTGCCGGTAGCAGTGGGAGCTAAGCGCCGACCTGGTAAGAAACATTTAAATGCGGAACAAGTGAAGTACGCCCACAACGGAGTCGGAAAGAGCCGTTAAAATTTGAAACAACAGGTGTTTGCAAACACACATGGACAAGGGCATTGCGGCTGATTGCATTGTTAATAGGACATCAGCTCACAAACGTCTGAGGGAAGCGATAACAGGACCACAAAGGAGACAGTGGCAACAAGCACTGGATTTCGAGTATCACTCCGTAGTGAAAACAAGAACGTGGAAGCTCAATAGGTTACCACCAGGCCAAATGTCACTGCCGCGTCACTGGGTACTTGCAGTACAATGCCGATGGCAGTATATAGAGATATTTAAAGCATGATTGGTTACACAAAAAAAAACATCAGGGATTTGAGGCAAATTCAAATGAAATGTATGCACCGGTAGGTCGCTTTGACTCGTGTTGGCAAAAAAAGCCATATCAAATTGCCATATCCATCAGATGGATATGCACACGGCGTTTCTAAAAGAGCTTATGGTCGTAGAGCAAAAGGTGTATATGCACCAACCTCCGGGGTATAAAGAAGCAGGCCATATAAAGCTAGGTTTTGAGCTTAAGAAGAGAATCTATGGACTTTAGCAAGCACCAACGATCTGGTACAAGGGTCCTCTACAGACGTTTTACAGGACTTGGTTTTGTGCGATGCAATTAGGAGTACTTTACTTATGCTCAATAAGGGGAAAGGCAATGGATGTGGACTTTGTGAATGACCTAGCGATTATGTCCCGTGACATGTGACTGATCAATCAGTTGAAGAGAGATATATCCCAAAGATTTAAGATGAACAATCTGGATGACATCCATTATATACTGAAGATGGAAGTCCGTCGGAATAGGGAAAGAATAGCGAGACAACCTCTCAGCACAGCTATATCATGAAAACGTTTAAGGTGGGGGCGTGGGTACCAGTGTCAACACCACTTATGAGAGGCGTGGATCTGGTAGGTGAGTAGGAGATGTCGGCCCAAAAACTCGCAGCCCAAAAGTTTGAATACCGGGGTCTTGTGGGGTCACTGCAGTATCTGGTGCGAGAAACCGGACCTGATTTTGCAAACGCAGTCAGAGAACTGAGCGAATTTCTGTCGTGCTACATTGAAATACACTGGCACGCAGCTAGCAGCGTGCTGAAATACTTGAAAGGGATGTCAACGTACGGTCTACTTCTTGATGGAACTTCCAGAACGATGACGTATAAAGTGCACACAGACACAAGCTTCGCGTGTCAGCCCAAACAGCGTAAATCAGTAACAGAGTATGTAATTTTTAAGGCAGGCAGCTGTGTCTATGGTGCTACCGTAAGCAAGGCTCAGTATCGCTTTCTTCTGCAGAGGTAGAGCTCATCGTGCTTAGAGAAGGCAAAGGAAAGCGAGTGGCCTTGGTATCTGTCAAGGGAGATGGGGTTCCCGCAGGAAAAGGCAGTGCAAGTATAGTGTGGCAATAAGGCGGTCATAAATACAATAAAGAATCCTAGGTGTCACAAAGCTACGAAGCATATCGAAATTCGGCACTTGTTTAAAATATACCTTGTGGAAGAAGGGGGATGGGGGGGACTAGCGATTCAATACTACTCAACCAGTGACGTGATAGCAAATATTCTGACGAAAGCTCTATCTACAGGATAGTTAATTAAGCTGAGAGAGTTGATTGGGGACAAAGGCCTAAATACTACGGATGACACTTAGCGGGAGTGCTGAGCCTGGCACTGGAGCCAGCACCAGGGGAATGCGGCAGGTGATCCTCGAATGGCCACGATCGTACCGGGTGAGACATATTAAATTTAAAGTGTATGGGTTTTATTATACCTATTAAAGTGTCTACGTAGTCTGGTACTCTGACCGGTGATGGGTGGAGGAGCCCCTCTTTGATCGAGGCACACACTAAGTGCGATGAGGAGAGAATGCATAATGGGTGGGAAGAGAGTCCTCTTTTGCTTCGATCTGCGTACAACCGTGATAATAGCAATATGTTGATTATTAAAGGGTCAATTAAGGAATTAATAGACCAATAAGTTTACATTAGTGGCTCTCACGGTTGCAGTAGGTTTGAACAGCCAATCACATCAACCCTTCCTGTCCTGTTTTTTTCAACTACAACCTATCTCGGAAAACTCGGTAGGTTTGACCAAGAAGTGAAGGTATAATGTTATTGGTGCAAACGACTAGGAGAAGGCTTGATTTGATTGGTTGATTCAAGCAGAAATATCCGTTCAGGGCTCCATTTCCCAGTTTTGACGACGTCTGGACGATCCAGGTAGCGGTGGGAGACTATCGCGCAGTAGAACATATCGTCTTCGTTTTCGTCGTTCTCGATTCCCTGGTCACAAAGCAGATAGCTTAGAGCTGAGTGCTGAAGGTGCAGCAGCAGCGCTGCCCGTAGAGATCGCCCCATTCTCACCTTCAGCGCTCACTTACCAATGAAGTCACTGGCAGTAGCCCCTGCACACGCTGCTCACAGTTGAACAATGAAGGTTTGATTTGATTTGGATACGAAACCTTCGTACATTCTAACCGTGAGAACCACTATTAGAGAACTTTAGCTTCTGGAAGAACGCAAGGCGAGTATTAGGATAAAATCTGAATAAATGACGGATTTTCTCCGATCAAAATTGCAATACTTTATTTCAGTGAGATACTACCGTCTTAGCCCGCATATAAGGCATATGTGTTCTAAATAAAATACGGGATTCGCTCGACATCTAGCTTAAACCTCAATTTGACCACCTACCTAATTAGAGCACATGTGGCTGGAACCCGGGGGTTAAAACACAAGGCTGTACCAACCAATGAATATTCTTGAGAGCTCCCAACCAACCACCCTTCTGAACAAACTTGTCGGTGCTGCTGTTACTTGGCTTTAATTCTCTTGTTTTATAATTTACACAGCCATGAGTGCTGAGCGACGTAGCTATAGTATCCACGAGAAACTCGCTGTTCTAGCAGACTATCGGAAAGGCGCAAAACCTCCGTATACAACGCAGCCACAACAGAAAGAAAAGACCCGCTACCATCACAAAATCATGAGACCTGCACGCAGGCGGGTGTGAACCCACGCCGATCGCGTAGGAGGGTCAAGTCTAAACGACTAAGCCATATGCCAGGACACACAAACTTGCTTCATCAAAGTCAAACCATTTGTTCGTTCTACAACACATAGGTTTTCTAAACGAATTTAACACACAAGCAGTGTTGTATTCGTTTACAGCACATATGCCTTATATGCGGGGTAAGACGGTTAGTTTTACCAACCCCCCAAATAAACCAGAACTATAACACTGATTCCTACATAACTTCGGAGCACTAGCTGAAATGAATGCGACGCATGTGACGACCGCCCATGCCCAGCTTCGAGCGTGCATGCAGCGAAAACTTGTCCACGATTACGAACTCGCCCTCCACCCACCGGTGCCAGTAAGAAAATTAATCTGAGTACAGACGCTCCTCCAGCACCGCCGTGACGAAATCAGCATCCTCATCCTTCTGGTTTGACTCTGGGTCATATCCCACCGACGAAACGTACGTCGGGTGCATCTTGCGGGGCCCCACGGCTCATGATACCGCAGCACCAACTCACCCGTGATCGGGTGTGTGTCGACCACTGGGGAAGTGTGTACGCGGCCATGGTGTCTGAACATTGACGTACGATACTCCAGCGAAATTGTCTTGAGACGCTCCACGGTAGCCAGGGGCAAAGCAGACAGCAATCGACGGGTATCGGTGATAATGGTATTACCGCTCTTCGGGTCGCCCTCAGGTGGATTAGCCTCGACGCAATGGAAGAACATGAACACAGGCGCGTCACCAAGCTCCGTGGACTCGGGCGTCTTCTTCTTGAGCATACCGTCGTAGTGGAACGACATGGCCTCGAGAGTTTGCCCAATAAGTGTCGTACCGGTCTCCGTCTTGACGTCAAAGATGTTCCCAGCCGCGAACGTTCCCTTGGGCCACTGCAGCACATCTCCCCAGCGCTCAGTTGCTGTCTCGAAGTCGTCGTCCTGCTTGAAGCCGCGCAGCGTCACGACGCCGTACCTGAGCACGAGGCTTCGGATGGCCTCGCGCGGAACGTCCATAATGGACGGTGCCGGGAAACCTTCCATGGCTTGAGCGATGATGAACATTTGTGTGCGGATGAGCTCGACGTGCAGTGGGGCCCAATGGGCGGTTTCCTCGGGCGTACATGGTGGTCTCTCTATGTACCCCCACTTACGGCCATGCTTGTAGACCAAGTCGTACTTGTCCGTGTCCACGTCCTTTAGATCCATAGCGTGCACTGCGCCGTCGACGTCCTCACGGATGACCGAATGCCACGGTGTCCGTGGTGAGTCCATTCGCCTGGCTGGTAGTAGGTGGATACCGAACTTAGAACCAGCGTTGTTGTAGCAGTGAATCGACACGCGGACGGCATGACCGTACTCCTTCGCCACGAGCGACGAGAAGCCCACGTTGCGCAGCATCATGTTGCGCGCAACTTCATCGCAACCTTTGCGCATCTCGGCCTCCGACTTGCCCTCCCACCGGTGAGCCATATCTCGCTCCATGAATTGTGAGAACGAGCGGAAGTTGTTGCCGACGTCAGGCTCGTTCGCGATGCGAGCGTCCATGTCCATCTGGTCGATGTGAAAGCGGTCCAGCACTTCCCGCACTGGGTCGTCGGTCTTTGTATAGTTCTCTAGCCCGTCGGATTGGATGTGTGTATGTCCCGCCTCCTTCACCAACTCTTTCAGACCGTTCTTGTACGCGCGGATGTTCTCCAGGGATGCACCTACTAGATCACCGAACACGCGACCGTCGCTGAAGATTGTGACGTGGCAGCCGATAGGGTAGACTTCCTCGATGGACATGCAAAACCTCTCCAGACGTGCGAGCGCCAGCTCCTCGGCACGATCGGGTAGGGGGCCCAAGACCTTGCCGCCGTGATTGGGCGTCTTTGCCGGAAACCCAGGTAGCACGATCATGATAGGCTCCATGCGACCCACGAAGCGGAAGATTGTCGCTTCTAGGAAGCGTTTGCCCTTGGATGCGAATTCGTCGCTGGGCACCTCGAAGCGGCTCTGCAGGTCAGCGAACTTGCTCAAGAAGTGCGCCGCTACAGCATCCTTGTCAACGGACTTGTGGTCAATGGAGTGTGCGTGGTCTGTTGAAGCCTTTGATGACATGGTGGCTGAACACATTGAAACGACTGTCGGCTGGAAGGTTGACATGAAGTGTCTTGGAATGGCGAATATTGAGAATGCACCCGTCCTGTGTCATCCAACAGATACTGTAAGCTAGTCGAACATTTCATGGTAAATGGTTACGGGACAATTCTCACAATTGGCACCTTGCTATTGATAGAGGCAATCGTTGACTCCCACTGTCTATAATAGCAGACTCATATGTTGTTAAAAGCAAGTGCAATAGTGGCGAGCATTGCATTTTGACCGGCGAGATACTTTTTCTACTCATACAAGGAAGTAAGCAAACTGCTCAAGAATTTGTGGGGGTCATTGTCTATCTCTGCTAGACGTCATCGCAGTAGTGCTATTTTTGAGTGACGCCTTCATCTTTTTGCGACTTATTCAGGTGGGGGTGAGTATGCTCATTCGTAAACGTGGGACTTTTAATAATTCTACACCATTTTCCGGCCAAATTGCTATAGTTACCAAGCAAGTTGCAAACGATAAGAGACAGGGATACTTCAAGTGAACAAAAAATGAATTTTTCAACTTTTGCAAAACGGATGGGTACACGTTTCAAGCAAAATGCAAATTCGAAGTCACGCGCCCAGCTCCATGTCGAAGCCCTTCTCGGCAGCGAAACAATGCCGCAGGCAGTGCCTTTCGTAGCGCCAGATGAGTCGGCGCGTAATAACATTCTTGCACGCTTCCACTGCGTCTTTCATCAGCTGCAGCCTGTGCGCCGTAAATGAGTCATACTCTCCACGCACCAGAAACTCGTGCTTTCGTTCCATCATGAAATGCCGCATCTTGGCCTTCAAGGAGTTCCAGCACCCTTCAATGGGGTTCAGCATTGGGCTATAGGGACCCAGGCGCAGAACCTCGAGCTTGTTCAGGTTCATGATACCGTCGCCAGCCAGGTACTCTCGAGCAAGGGTCTCGACGTCGCTGTGAGACGGCGCGTTGTCCGTGATAATCACAACCTTGTCCGGTTGAAGCTCCGCGTACTCTTCGGATCGAAGAGCAGCGATGAAGAGGTCTGCCATGAACCTGGCATTCTCAGCCTTCTTCACGGACCCCTCATGGGTTCTTAGCAGAACCAGACCAGAGCCACTTGAAACTCCTCCTTGGATGTGAAGGTTCTTGCCTTTGGATGGCGGCAACTGGACAAAAGCACGTTCTCCAACTCGAGCCCAGCCCTCATTCCGAGACAGGTACAAATTAAAGTTAGTTTCATCCTGAAACACAATCATGTTACCTTTCTTGATATGTTTATTCAGCTCCACGGCGAAGTTCTTGCGCTTCTCCTTGTTGGCAGCAGAGTTCATGGTCACCTTCTCGATGCGCAAGCGCTTCGTCGAGTACAACATGCCCTGAAGAGCGCGATGAACGGACGTCGGGCTTACAGTGACGCCCAGCTCGGCTTGCACACGGTCAGACATTTGCCCCAGCGTCATACGGCAGTCCTCATCGAGATATTCTTCAAGCTTGCTCATCACCTCTACAGTCATCTTGACAGAAGCCTGGCGCAAGCCGCCGCGCTGTTTAGGCTCTTGACCAGCGCTGAGGATAGCGCGACGCGCGGTAAAATAGTTAACATCGTTGGCCTTGGCAACATCCCTCCAATTCTGGTTCTCCTGGTAGGCACGCACGACACGAGCCTTGGCTTGAGCTCGCTCGAAGGCACGATTCGTCTTGTTGGGCTGTGGGGGAGATGGCATCTTTTAAAATGAGCAGAATAGCGCGCTTGTGTGGCGTGGTTGGCTTGGACGCTACTGGAAGTTCGCGCCAAAACTTGTTTGCACTTTGACTGAAAAGTGTACCCATCCAATTTGCAAAACATGAAAAATGCACTTTTATTGTTGGACACAAAACACCATTCTTTCACACTTTGCAGTTTGATTGGTAAATTTTGTAAATTGACCGGGAAATGGTGTATACTTTGGCATGCTTTCAAACAATCTGCTGGGACCTACTCGCTCTTATTCTGACCACGTGATTGCCGTATTTCTACCAATCAGATCGCTGACATTTATAAACAGTGATCTCTTACACTAAAAAATGATCGAATACGGCCACTGTATAGTACTACAGTCTTCAGTGCCCACAAACGGACAATGCCACTTAAGGCTTTGCACAGCTCACGTCGAACATCCATTTAACTGCGGGAAACTGGCAGTCTTCGCGACGATGTACTGACACACACACAGCTACATGTATTAGAAACGGCTCGGTTGCTATTACCTAAACTTCAGACTGAAGGGCCCAAAATCTGATCAGGCTAGAATGCTAGATGAGCTGGATTTGAAATTAGCAAAATATTGCCTGTGAATAGGTCTGCCTTTATAATATATTACTTATGCAGGTCCAAACCGAATGTTTCAGCACACAGCAAATCATTTGACTTGACTTCTGTATTATTTTGACCTTCTGAGTGTCGCAATAAGACATAATCGACGATTAGAGGTCACAGCAGAAAAGGAACCAGCCGCGCTTCGCTTGGCTGGGCGCCCCTTCGGCGCCCCCGCGGTTCGCTGCGCTCGCAATATGGAGATAGAATGTTCTGGAAAGTGTAGTGCTCGGCTCGCTGGTGAGCTCAGCGGTGGGCCCGCCTCCGCAAATACCGCGCGGCGCCGCGGCTATGGCACCCACGTCGCCCAGCCTCGTGTGTGTTATCCCAGCGATGGACGTGTGTTTCTCCTATTTCTAGAGTTCGGAAGTCGAACGCGGCCGTGTTCGACTGACGAACAACTTTTTTTATATTTGCAGATGAAATGACTAAGGTCGGCGCGTAAAAGCAGGCGTAAACTGAAATGGAAAATGACAGACCTGAAATAGCTATCTTTTCATGCTTTTTATAACCGCAAATAGGATCGTTTTACTGAGAATCGATGTCGACCTCCCCATGACAAAATAAATTTATGGTTTCATAAGAAATTATTGATAAGACCATGCCATAATCGGGAGCCCTGGTTATGAGCCCATGCGGTGTCCACTGTGTTAACCGGTGTGCGCAACATGGCTAGATTGACAGGCTAAGGTGTATGCTCGGCCCCTCGAGTTGATCAATAGATCCCGTCCGGCTCCGTGGCTGTCCTGAATTGAATCGTAAGTACGAATACTGAAGGACAGTGGTGGTGCACCCATCGCCAGTGGGTTCGATGTCGAAGCCATTTGTTGCAGACTGCGACTATAAAAAAGTGATTTTGACTTTCGACTGCATAAAACATGCACTCGACCCGCCAGAAATCTCTCTTGCAATCCGGTAAGTGCATATCGACGAAGCCCAGCGTACGCCATGCTGTCTCGTTCAGCTTGGAGTCACACTTATTTGTTCTGTGTCCAGAATACTTAGAAAAAACCTTTATATGCTTATTCTCAACACTAATTCACTAAAAAAAAGTGGAAATTCAGAATAAAACACAAAGTAAGTTGATGAATTAAAATCTATGGATGTTATATCAGAGTGACGCCAGGGTAAGTTAGTGAAAAGTGCCGATACACTTTCAAGCTAAATTAAGAGGCTATCAATAAATAAAGAATTCTAAGCGCGTTAAGGAATGAGTCGGCGAAGCTCTTATTCCATAGCGCATCACAATTGAAAAGAACGCGCTTGTTGCTTGTGTCTACCAGGGAAGACATTAGGACCCATTCATCCAGATTGTTGTCTCTTCGGCCCTCTGCCAGGCCGAATTGCTCTCTACCGAGCTAAACTGATACTGTGTATTGAATTAAATCCTCTGAATCTTCTCTCTGTATGTGTGCTACACATCACGTGCCTTCACATCCTACCTTCTCCTCCTGGCGCACAGTACGTGCATCTCCCGCGGTTACCCTCGCCCGCTGTGGCCGAGGGAGCCGTACTGATACAAATTAGATCCGGACGAATCACTTCCCCCTCGGCTTGGAGGGTATGATTTCGGGTGCCCCCTCTGTGGACCATCTACGCGACGCTGGGCGGTAGCTCTGCCCTGAGCATCAGCCAAACTTGCAGCCAGCCGCTGACGTAATGGGTTATCAGCGGGTTCGTCCAAAAATGTCTGCAATAGGGTCGGAACGTCTTCTTGAATGGCCTCTGCAGGCTCCCATGAGGCCTCGACGTCATCCTTGCCGACCCAATTTACAAGAATTCCCCATCGGTGTGTGGCTGGGCTCAAGCGGCAGTCTAGCAGGGCTTCGACAAGATGGCCACATTCGCCATTGATAGTATGCTCTAGTAAATCCTCCAGGGTGCCTCGCAGTGCGTCGCGGTACAGCTGAAGTCGCGATGCGTGACGGACGGACACCATAAACGGCGGTATGATGTATTGGACCTCGAACGTGAGGTCGTTCAATGTGCGTATGATTCTCTTGGGTCCACGAAAAATGAGGGCCAACTTGTTGCCGCTACGACCTATTGCTGTCGCGGCCAGCACAAAGTCACCTTCACGAAACTTTTGTAGTTTGACACCTTGGCGACAAGCATGGCGCTCCCGCGCTGTGCGCCGTCGCTTTTTACTTGTGTCCTGTGCGTTGAATCCAGAGCCGCACAAACGGCTGTCACGTGCTCGCGAACAGTGTCGTCAACCCACGCCACCGTCGACTCCTTTTGGCCGCGGGGGTGAAGGGTACTTCGTAGCTGCGTGCCACCTGGCAGCGCTGTAAACGCCGTCGCTGGCGCCTTGTAAACGAGGCGATCCGCCGACATTCCATTTAACGCAGCCTGAACGACCGGCAATACGACCGGCCAGTCCTGGACAGCAAGCTTTTGCTAACTTAAAAGCGATTTCACACACTTAAGAATCTCGCGGTTAGCTACTTCGATGGTCCCG